GCTGTTGGTCTACGCCGATGATGTGAATCTACTGGGTGATAATGTAGATACCATAAAGAAAAACACACAAACTTTAATTGACGCAAGTAAAGTGATTGGTCTAGAAGTAAACACAGAGAAAACTAAGTATATGTTACTGTCTCGTCACCAAAATGCAGGGCAAAATCATGACATAAAGATAGGAAACAGATGTTTTGAAAATGTGGCACAGTTCAGATATTTGGGAACAATGATAACAGATCGAAACCTGATTCAGGAGGAAATTAAGAGGCGATTGAACTCGGGTAATGCTTGCTACTATTCAGTCCAGAACCTTTTGTCTTCTCGTCTGTTGTCCAAAAACATAAATATTAGAATATACAAAACTATAATTTTGCCTGCGGTTCTGTATGGGTGCGAAATTTGGTCTCTGACATTAAGGGAGGAACCTAGACTGAGGGTGTTTGAGAACAGGGTGTTGAGGAGAATATTTGGACCAAAGAGAGATGAAGTGACAGGAGGTTGGAGAAAACTGCATAATGAGGAGCTTTATAATTTGTACTCTTCTCCAAGAATAATTAGAATGATCAAATCAATGAGGATGATGTGGGCACGAATGCACGAATGGGGGAGACGAGGAATGCATATAGAATATTGTGGGAATGCCAGAAGGAAAGAGACCACAGGGAAGACCAAGGCGTAGTTGGGTGGACAATATTAGAATGGATCGTAGAAAGATAGGACGGGATGGTATGGATTGGATGGATCTGGCTAAGGATAGGGACCAGTGGAGGGCCCTTGTGAACACGGTGATGAACTTTCGGGTTCCATAAAATACTGGGAAATTCTTGAGTAACTGCAGAATTGGCGGTTCCTCAAGAAGGGCTCAGCTCCATGATTAAGTATGTAAGTAAGTAAGTAAGTGTGCCTATGTTTGTATGGTAGTATGTTCATCACCCCCAAATACAAACTGAATGCCTGAAATAATCTCTGTGAGACCTAATATGTATATCATGCGACCCGAAGCCATACCAACCACTTTCATTTATTGCTAGTGGGGTGGGACTAAGTCCCTTGTACTGCGGCCACTTCTGGCCTATTGTACCCGCCTCAGGTGATAGGTGAGGGTGATTGTGGAGCAATTTGTGAATGAAGATTGTCAGGGGAAACCGAAGTACTCGGAGAAAATCTGCCCCAGTGCCACTTTTCCACCACAAATCCCACTTGACCAGACCCGGGATCGAACCCAGGCCGCCGCGATGGGAAGCCAGCTACTAACCGCTTGAGCTATGACGCGTCCTTTCCCAACCACTTACTTCACAAATAATTCCGATCAGTAATACTAACGTTTCAGCCGCTCATGTTATTAAGGTAAGAACCTTAATATTAGTTGAATATCTGAATTGCTCGTCATGAATCTTGGTTTCTATATCATGCCACCTGAGTCCATACTTTCCATCAGTAATACGAACACTGCAGCTTTTCAAATTGTATTGTTTTATTGATTTTATGAAGCATATATACTGAAGGTTTTTATTTTAAATTGTCGTACCAGATACTCAGATTTTACTGAAATGAAAGTGATAGGTTAGATCTTCCCAGAATTTCTTGTTCTTCTTGAAATGAATCAGCTGTAGTTTTTTACTGTACTAATCAAATATGTCTCCTTTTCACAGTACCTCAAGCAGAAAGGAAATCTTCATCAGTATTCAGCAAATCCCTCAATCGGGACTTCAGTGACGACCCCCAGAGCTGAAGGTAAGAGCAAGTTTCAATTCCTTTTGTATACACATGTAAGAAAGAGGTAAATTCATCTTTGATATTTATGGCATTTTTCAATAATATGAGAAAAGACTGCCTTTGTACGTAGGTAGTTGTTGATGAGAATTTTCCCCTTCCTCATCTTTTTTTTTCCCCATTTTATTTATTGTACTTCCCTCGTTGTTAATGTTTGATAGTACACAACAGGCATTTTGCCAGTTGACTAAAGTTGGATCAATAGAGTAAGTCTGTACATCTCGTAGTTAACAGCCGATAGCTGCTTCTTTTGTTTCTTCTGTGCTGTCGGACATATTTTTCTCTTTCTTCCTTTTATAATATCGGGAAGGAAAGAAAGTTTTCTCCATCATCACTTGTGAGTTTCCAAACAATCTGCTAAAGAATTTTGTCCATCATTATTTAAAACGAGCTGCGTAAAGAAAAAAGGAAGAATGGTAGACAAGTTAGAGGATGATAGAGCCCCGAAAAGCTTGCTTTTGTTTTCTTTTTTGCTCCGTCTCTTTCATTTGATGTCTTGTGTATATTACTAAGCTAACTTATATAAGAATTTCGTCATTATAATATTATACAAGAGTTATAGGATACAAAAGTTGTTAAACTTTTTAACCGGTAAGGATGATGGAAAAAGAAAGAGAGCATTTTGTGCAGGGGTGGGAAGTACTCATGTCGATTTACAAAAGAATAACTCGGAAATAGGCTTAAAATATAATAAGCAAGAATAAACAAAGGGAGAGAGATGTAAAGGGCGATACAAGAAATTAGGCAAAACAACCGTGTAACTGTGTAGAGTACAAAAAGCAGTTGTGTCTCTATTAATGAAAACTTGACATTTGGAATATGTTTCGTAGACAATTATTATTCTGAAAATTGCCCGCAGAGAAATGGATTACACATTTAGAGTATAGCATGTAATTTTCAGTGGGAAGTAGGTCAGCTTATTAACAAATTTGCTGTGGAAAATTAAAAAAAAAACTTCAAAACAGACGTTAAATGCATAATCTTGCGTCAGATTACTCATCAAATTTGTTGGCAATACCGAACGTGAACATGGAACCACCTGCTGGCGTTGTTTGGAAACTGCTAATTTTCAAAATGGCGAGAACCTTGAAGTTTAGAACCAAAGAAGATATGCAAACTACAATCCGATTTTTTGAATGCAGGAAGAATAAAAAGAGATTAAATTTATCGCAGAATATTCGTTCATTCACCTGACTTAATTCCGTATGATTGTCGTCTGTTTCGGCACTAAAAGAACATTATTTTTCGCCAGATGATGATGATGATGATGATGATATAAAGACGGGCATATACGAATGGCTTCAGCACCGACCATAATATTTCTTCCCTCGAGGAATCCAGCCATTCGCGCTAAGTTGGGGGTGTGTCGAATGTAACTGGGACTAAACTGAATATATATATGCATAGCCTCTTCGTTAAACAATTCCGTCTCCTGGGATGTGGCGCCATGTAGATCTTTTGTGAACCGACGTTCCCCCGAGTGACGGCATTCTTCATAGTCACCACAGTGAAAACCTCAGATCTTACAGTCTCTTTGCTGTTTGTAAACATTCACGCATGTGGTTTTCATTTAAAACACCTTTTTATGTCAGGCATCGAACTTAGTTATGATATGCCCTGAATATCTACAATAAATTATGCGATATTTATACGAGGTACAAATTACGTCAGTGCACGAGAAATCCTCTGACGAGTCTCGAACACTTGTATGATGGTGTTCTAGAATATGTAGACCTGCTTTAGATCTATACTTACAGTTGTCAAACTTCTATGAACATAGACAAGGCTTCAGTGTACTACGGGAATATAGTTGTTACATTGGTAACGGATATTTTTGACGAAGAAAATTTGTCAAATTTGATATTATACTGCTTTAGAAATAAACAAATAATGCATAAAGTGCTCACCTCAACCAATACTCAGACAACCTAATTCCAAACATAGGTTCGACGTCATGAATAACACATAAGATTTATTAAGTTCTAAATTACTTAAGTAGAAGAATCACGTGTCATTGAATAAAAATTGTTCCGAAATTTAAAATAAAATTATCATGAAGTCGTCATACTGGTTTGTAACTTCGTATTATTTTCTATGATTGTGAAATGTGCTCACCAGTCGTTTCATCAAAACGAAAGACCATGCATTATAAAATTACTAAAATGAAACCTTGCCAAAATATCACGAAATTTGTAACATAAATATATATGCTGTCTGCCTTATGAGAGAGTCGCTCGCTTGCCTAAATTGGTGAAGGTTTTGCTTGCATTTCATGTTGCCTTTGTATTAATGCCATTAACTTGACTAGGCACTGTTAATAAAGGAACTGACTTCTTTAATTTATTGCTCTGTAAGGATCATCCAAATTATCGCCTTTTCCCTCGAGTCCTGAAAGCCTTGAGACATTTCCACTTTTCGTTGGGTTGGAAGGAAGTCATGAACGAATTTTCTTCCTCCTTCGTGGCAGTGGCTACAGCATTGGGAGTTGTCTTCCACTGCCTTCATGGCGTTTTGCATAAATGAGTTTTCTAGCTTTATGTCTATAAATTTCTATGATAGGCTGCAGTAGAGCCATTAATCTTTTTGTTAATTTATATATGAAGTATAATATGCAAGTTTCCCTCCTTTAACAGATCATGTATGAGCGACATGTAATACGTGTATAAAGGAGCTGTTAGTACAAATATTATGTTTTTGGATTATTATCCATCATTTTATCCCTATCGAAACATCTTCCTCTTTATTTTTCAAAACAGAACGTTTCGGAGACTGGATTCTATCTCCGTCTTCAGGTAAAACCTACTAATATACCATCGTCACAAAATTTTAGATCTTATAAAATAGTCATGTTTAAAAATATAGGATAAAACGGTGTGCTTCAGAAAGTCACAATAGAAATGCTACATTTCATGGCCGGTAAATATGCACACATTGATAGCAGAATACTCACAGTACGAACGATTTCTTAACGCATATTTTAGGGTCAGATTTCTAGAGTAAGATTTTTTTTTCTGTTTGACATTTTAGATAAATACATTTTAGTGTGAGGATGATATTCAAATCAATATCTTTGGTGTTATAGCAAGTGTCACGTAACTTCGAACAAGGCCAAGAGTAACCTTGAATGCGCAGATGAAAAATTTCAGACAAGGGGGTGGGTTCGAAGGTGTGAGAAGTGACAGGCGGTCAGTCACTTCTCACACCCTCGAACCCACCCTCTTGTCTGAAATTTTTCTTCTGCGCATTCAAGGTTACTCTTGGCCTTGTTCGAAGTTACGTGACACTTGCTTTAAATGTGTTTAATTTGTTTAGTTGTTTAATTTGTTCAGAAACGGCCCATTGAGAAGCTCTGTGAGCGGTGCTCCATAGGGCTCCACAATAACCCAGAATTTGTTGAACACTTACAATACTACAGTAGGTCAAGCAGTTAGTCGCTGGATTCTTACCGCGGCGGCCCGCGTTCAATCCCGTGTCTGGGCAAGTGTGATTTGTGGTGCACAAAGTGGCGCTGGGGCAGGTTTTCTCCGAGTACTTCGGTTTCCCCTGCTAATCTTCATTCCACACATTGCTCCACAATCACCCTCACCTATCTTCTGGAGCTGGTACAATAGGCCAGAAGTGGCCGCAGTGCAAGGGACTTAGTCCCATCCCACTAGCAATAAAAACAAAACACTATACTACATGGCGATATTTCAGTACAGTCTTGCGAAAATTTTAATCACATAATTAGTTAATATTTGTTTAAGTCCTCAAAAATAAAATTATTTCTAATCAGTAAAAAATTAATTTTCCTTAAATATTTCTTCTTTATTTTTTTTTGCTATTAATTACGAGCCCAACGATTACACGAATCATAAAAAAAACTGACATAATCGGACAATCCGTTAGGGCAGTAACCAGTAATCTAGACAAGCAAGGCTTCATAGAGTATACACCCTTTTCAACATACCTGATTACGGAGACAGAACTAGACTTGGAACCGTTTTCGACCTAATTTATATTCTATGACGGTGACCAGTTTTCAGCAATACATTTACTAGTACACGAAAATCCATACTGTATTATGGAAAACTTACTTATGACACGTAAGGATGATTACACACGTGTAAATATGAGAGAAGAGAGAGACGGAGAATAAGCCCTCTACATTTTTATTTTAGGCTCGTTAATATGTGATTTAAGTTTGAGAACAATGGTACATATTTTATCCTCAGTGGCACATAATATTTTATGTCTTGACTTTCAAAGCATATTTGTAACTGTATTACTTCGTCATTTCTCATTTGTTATGTCCTCGGTTCAATTTCCATCTTTCCGAATAAAAAAGTTCAATTTTCTTGAAATTGCTCCCTCTCCTTAACCCACGGTTATATCATTGTATTGTAAAGTCAGAAACTACGTATGTTTACTTGTTCGACAAATATGTTATTTTTCCTTCATGAAATTTATACGCCCAACGCGGATTGTATTTTATTTGTTATATCAACATGACAGAATTTGATCGATAGTATGTACACATTGACTCCCAGTACTTCCATGTGACTGCTATTTGCTTGTGGCACAAGGAAACTTCACCCAACTTGGCCAAACGGAAAGCATGGAACTGACTACAGGCGCAAACAGAAAGCAACAGTTATTAAGGTCGAATGATCCGATCCAAGATCATTTCGAACATTCAGTGGTGTCGACTATTACGCTGTAGCACTCATTTGCGCCTTAATGTAATTTCTTTTGGAGGCTTTGAAGTTTCTTGAGTCTTTGCAGTGTGTCCAGTTCGAAACAAATATTTGCCTATTTTGTTTCGTCTTGAAACTTGGCCTCTTTGTGAGAGACAAATATGGTTTCAGGGTTTTTAGAACAAGACGCTGAGGAATATATTTGGACCTAAGAGGAGGAAGTGAGCGGTCTAAGGCATGTACTGTCTTCGCTCGCTTGGAAACCGGGATCGTGGGTTCGAATCC